AAAAAAAAAAAAAAAAAAAAAAAAAAAAAAAAAAAAAAAAAAAAAAAAAAAAAAAAAAAAAAAAAAAAAAAAAAAAAAAAAAAAATAGTAATCCCTAAAAACACGCCTCAAGTATAAGCTCAATTGTTTATTCCCGTTCGTTTCATTAATCTACAAATGCAAAATCGACGCGAACACCATATAGCTCCGAGTTCCCCCTTGAAATAACAAAGCGTTATACATAAATATAATTATATAGGTACACGCGCATGGCTCCACTTGAAAAATCGCGGCAGCTTTGTCAAACTGACGGATGGCATCGGTCGAGGTTGGGGGTCGGCCGAGGGCCCAAGGAGAATACATTACAGCGGGGAAAAGGGTTTAGCGGCGTGTATATACATATATAGGTAGATATTTATAAGCATCACAATAAGGGTCTCAGGTGCGGGTGGTTGGGGAAAAGAGTAAAACGCCTTCGAGGATAACAAGTAACGAGGCCAACTCTCGACCCCTCCCCCAGGGGTATTTTAGACTATTTTGATGTACACACGTGTGTTACGGGCAGCAATAAAATGATACAGGCAATTGTTGAATTCTTACCTTGACCTGCGACTCGGACATGTTGAGGGCAAAGGCGAGCTTGGCGCGCTCGGGGCCCGCGAGGTACTTGGTTTGCTCGAAGGTCTTCTCCAGGGCGAATATCTGTTGGCCGCTGAAGGTCGGCCTCGTGTGCTTTTTCTTGCCGGGCTCGTGGTCGCCTCCCGCGCCGCCGCCACCGCCCGCACCTCCACCGACGCCGCTCATGGCCTGCTGCTGGCAGCCAAGCTGCTGTGACACTGTGGGTCATCACGTTTCGGTGTTTAGTGATTTTTTTTTTCTTTTTTTTTCTTTGGAAAGGGGTTGGGAGCGTTATCGGCAGGATGAGCCTTTGTGATTTTTCGATTGACTCTCTAATATAGTTTGTGGACAATAAATAAATCGTATCAGTTTCTGGGTAAGACGATGACAGCATGAAAGGTTTTTTTTTTTTTTTTTCCTTCAAACATAGTAATTTTGGGACGGGAAATAAACACCTTTAAGGTTACACTGTGTAGAGGAAAAAAAAAAAAAAATACTCTTTCCGGCAATCGTTCAATAATTTTTATGCAAAGTGCTTTTTAAGCGTTAATATTTGATGCTGTTAAGCGTTTTAACATTGGCTACGGAGCATACAACAAATATCACTGTGCCATACAGGTGTTAATCAATTATATATTGTACTGAAAATGTGTGTCACTTGATTGGCGCGCGCGAGAGAAAACCTTAATATTTGGTCGAGAAAAATATTGTTTCACGCTGATCACCTGTTTCGCTCGTTAAAATTATTTTCACCAAACAACAAATAAAAAATAAAAATAAAAAGTTACGTTTACCATTGTTTTATCTTACAAATGGATCAGCAAACAAAAAAGGCAGACGTAAAAAAAAAACGAGAAAAGGTTAAGTATATATACCTGATTTTGTCGCAAATGTAAAAAATTACGTTCTACCCAACGTATACTAAATGCCTAAATTGCCACCCCTTCGTCTAGTGTATACTTACGTACATGCTCAGTATATAAAAAGATTAAGAGTTTCTTTTTTTTTTTTTTTTTCATCCCCCTCTCCATCCCACTCATACGCCGAGTCACATATTTATACTTAATACTAAGTACGTGTGCAAGTGTATACCATACACCTACATATACATAATACGCGTATGTATAGGTACGTGGGAGATTGTGACAACATCAGGAGTTGGAAAGAGAGAGAGAGAGAGAGAGGAGGGGCCTCTAATTTAATAAAGCAATTTGTAACGGAATACGAAACGAGGCAATAATGGCTGCTCGGCCGCTTGGCTCCGGCGAGGGTGTCCTAACGAGCTGCTTACCACATTCCACCCTGACCAGCCTGCGCGTATATACAGTGCGTATAGAGAGCGGTGTGCTCCTTTACCCTCCCCCTATCTCTCTCTCTCTGTCTTCCTTGTTCGCAAGCCCCTTCCCAACATTCTCGGATACTTAGCTTCCCCCACCCCTCACCCCCACGTTGGTGCACGTGTATCGAGCTTATCGTGCCTTATGCTCTACTCTTCCTGGCTCAATGTGTGCGTGTGTATCAAATCACCTCTCCCCAAGCCCCTTCAGCCAAGCGGTACACAAGAATCCGGCGAAATCTCGCGAGGGTTTTTGAAAAACGAGACGAGCTGCGCGTAAAAGACAATGGTGTGCCGCGTACACCCACGCCCCTATAATGTAACAGCTCGAGGAAGAAGAGAGAAATCGCGGCGTTGTGTGCCATTCCGAGTGATATGGCCCTCATCCCCACGACGCGTGTATGCATATATAGGTATACAAGAAACCCATACACACGCCACCGGAGCCGCACGTGCGCAGCCGGCTAAATATGTATATATATATATACGAGGAATATACATAATAATATGTAGATATGTATAAAAAAAAAGTGCGCCCCGGGAGAGGACTGACCGGCGCGTCGGTTCTCCCTCTTAAGAGGGTGCCGGGGCACGCCAGTTGGCTCCCCGTATATATGCACATAAAGACGGTCGGACCTTCCGCGCGCTCTATTTTTATACCTCGCGTTCGATATTACCCGCAGACAGGGCGGACCCTCCCCCACGTCCACGAAACTTTTACCCCTACACACACATTTATGTACCACATTTCGGATGTCCATTCCCTTTTACCGTCACGGACCGACTCTTTTGTAAGATTTTTCACGCCTCCGGTTCGCGTGTGAGCGTCCGATAATTACACGGCGTGAGAACCCCCCTTTTTTTGGTTTTTTGGGGAGGGAGGGTGTGAACAATCAGTGTATATATATCATCACGGATCTTCTTAAAATATATGTGTAATCTACGCGGTGACGCTCTGTTTTTCCGGGTCCCTTTTTTCCGTGGTCTCCTCGAGTTTCCGAAAACAACGCAAAAAAAAAAAAAAAAAAAAAGCAGCGACGGTGGAGTTTTACGCGTGTGTATTGTAACACGTCCTCTCCCTGCCCCCAACCCCCGGCTATGTATAATATTTCAGCAACGGAACCCCCCGCGGCGCGTAAACGCGCGGCTTATTGAATAAACACGGACGCGTCGACGTGTATATAGCCTCCCCCCTGTATATGGTATCCGCTTGTGTAGCTGCAGGTTGCTGCCGTGAACGTTGAGAAAGGTAGGAAAAAAAAAAAAAAAAAAAACGGAAAAGAAGAAGCAAGAGCGAGTTACGAGTCCCGATCGGCGCATAAAGCATCTCCGGAGAATCGAGGAATTGCGCCGTTGGGACGAGCCTCCACTCGTGCGTTGGAGGTATGGTATATACAATGCATACATATAGTATACCCACGAATATACAGATGTCATAATTATATTACTTGCGTACATGTGTGCGCGTGAAAATCTATCATATAGATACACACTTGCATTGTGATTCTATATAATACGATGATGGAACGCGCGGTTTATTAGCTTCTAGGGTGCGGTAAATAATAAAAATGGCCCTAGCAAATGGACAATTCGGACGTATTTAATCGCCTCCCCCCCCCCACGTGCTCATCCCCCCCCCTTTTCCACATATATACACACATACGTATACATTTGAACAAAATAAGGAAAGATCATCGATCCGACGACGAGTGCTAAAAGAGATGAATAAACAAAAAAGGAAAAACAAGTGGCATGTGTATATCTACACACGACGAGCGCGCTGCTTTTTAAGGATAAAACTGTCTTCGATGTGACAACGCACACACACGTATGGTGAAGATACACCAGACCGGAGGGAAAAAAGTTGCTGACACGAGGATCCCGGAGACGGTCATCAGCTATTTATATACGCTCGTATGTGTATTACGCGTGTACACGGGGCGAGGTTTTTTGTACGCGCGCGCGTTTTTTCCACCGACTCGGTACAGATGAAATTTTCCGGAGAAAGAGAGAGAAAAAAAGGTGCTAGAGTGTCACTCGCGCGACGAGCCGAACAAAGACCTGACAATGTATAAACCAAAAAAAACTCGATCGAACAGCGCTGTATAACTCTGTATACGAAAGAATAAAACAAGGGACAAATGGAAAAAATAATCGTGGTTCATGAAAGCCGATGAAATTGGAAAAGAAGCCACATTATTACGATCGTCGTCGGGGAAGGCCGCAAAAACTGCGGATACGTGTAGGGTCGGTAGGTATATATATATATAATATGCCGTAGGTGTAGAAAGAGGGAGAGGTCGTGTGCGGTTACACATGTGTCGGCGTGTCAAGCGCAGCAGCCACTGATAGGGGGGGGGGAGACCGTGTACACGAGCGCGTGACGGCTGTGCGCGCTGATCTATGCCCTCCGGAGGGGGATGATGCTCAGCTTCTTCGGCAACGACCAACCCTCCCGCGCTACACCACCGCTCGGAGAAAGATCAGGGCAGGAGGACTCTTGTTTTATAACTAAATTATACGCCATGGTATTAATAAGTATCCAAAAGGTAACCTCCTCTGTCTTTCGTGTCTTTCTCATTGATGCTTTAATACGTATGTATATTTACTAAAGTTACACCAGCAATCGCGATATTACCGTGGAGAAAAACGTGCACCAGATATTGGAAATCGAGAATAGATATTGGGAAATAAATGTAGAAAAATGATCGGGATAAATGGGGACTGCCATCACCCAATGGGTTCGGAGGCGCCTGTTATCTTCGTCTCAAGTGAAGTTGTAAAACAAGCGAGACCACGAGATATGGGTTTGCGAGAAAAAGGCTGGCGAGAATATAAAGCGAGGGAAGGGACGGTCACGTGCATCATCCGATTCAATGCATTACATGATGCCTCCCTTGATCGCCGCCGTTCCGCAAAGTGCCCCTACATACATGTATATATGACACGCTTATCACAGTCATCAGTGGGGCGACGCGGGCGTTCCGCGTCCCTCCTCCTTCCTACACGAACAGGTACATCTTCGCAAACAACGTAGGCACGTGCCGCGAGCAACGACCACTCGGAGAGAGCAATGGCTTTTTCATGCCTCGCGTGTAATGACGGTACCCCCACTTGGTCGGAGCATAATGTGGAAAAGCGCAAAAGAGCGTGTGGTCCGCCGGTTAACTCGGAACGGCCAGATCAATTTTTTTCAGCCGAGCCGCCGAGATTTATCGCGGATCTATACATAGGCAAGCTACTGGTTGTTTTTTTTTTTTTCCTTTATAATTCATGATGCTCGACGGACGTAAATTTTAACTGCTCGTCTTATAATACACGGCCATTGGTATATACATATACGATGTCGTTGTACGTGTCACCCGCGGCCCTTGGCGATAGTGTCACTCGAATCTCTTGCGAGTAAATCACGGCACATATATAGCAACGCAAACGAGGAAGGAGAAACAACATAAATGCCGTGTTTGGCACACGTTGCGTTTGGCTGTGAGTTATCGAAAAGACGCGCAGCTGTCAAGGTAATAGAGGAGATGCCTTGCAATGCAGTCGAGAGCACAAGCACACACACAGGGAAGACCCAAGGGTGTATACTTAAATATTATGTTGTACGAAAGAAAAAATACAAGTGTATAGGTGTACTCACGAGAGTGCAGGCGGGCCCTCCAGGCGAGCGGATCACTGACTAGACCCTGGAGCCCCGGCCAATAAACGGCCGGATGCCGTGGCTCGGCGCGCTGCTGGAACTGCCCGATTCCTGCAACCACAACGTTATTCCAATACAACGCACACCCCACGACCAACTAATTACTCGACCCCCGCCAACACGCAACTTTTGCAAATGTATACATATATATTATCTCCCCTGTATAGATATACTTACCAGGGGAATGGAATTGTGCACGCGTGCATATTGTTGAATAAAATATGTTTGATGGATAAAGCAAGCAAGCAATGTGTTCGTACCCGTGGTGGCGGCGAAACCCGCGTGCATGGCGTATCTCGGTGCGGGCGGCAGGTGCTGGGCCGCGTGCTGGCCGACGGTTGTCAGGTGGGTGGCAGCGGGCCTCGAGAGGATAGTGTCGATGCCGTGGGGATTGCTGCCGACCGAGGTGATGGACGTAGCGGGACTGTGCTTCCCCGTGCTGCCCGTCGGCGAGCTCTGGCCCCCGTGCATCTGCTGCTGTTGGGACTGTTGTTGGGATTGGGCCAAGGTGGGACTCGATTGTTGTTGTTGTAGGTGGTGCTGGTGGCTGCGCTCGGCCATCGAGTGGAGGGCAGCGAGGGGCTGACTGGCGGCGAGCATGGAGCCCGCGGCAGCTGCGTTCAGGTTGAGGAACTGGAGCACGTGCGGCGAGGCAAAGTCGTGGAGCCAGGGTGGCCTGGCGACTGGTGGCGAGTGACTAGGACCGCCCCCGGCGAGCGACTGGTGGTGGTTGTGGTGGTGCAGGGGTGGCGGTGAGCACGAGCCCATCGACGAGCCCGCCGACGAGCTACGCTCGTCCAGCTGCTGCTGCTGCGACAGATCCGACTGTTGCTGTTGCACCTGCATCAGCGCGTCCAACTGAATTTTTCTTTTTTAGAGGATACTCTGGTTTTGCCTTTCACCTCGGCCGATTGTCGCCAAAGTGCGAATATAATAATAATAATAATAATAATAACCGTGAATTTACAAGCGCTTGGAAATGAAAATTATACATGCAGAGAATAACAATCACTTTTCGTCCCTATAAATACGCGTTGTACTTTTTACGATTTGATTTTTTTTTTTCTTCGTTGCCTTCTTTGGTCGTCACGATTGACAAGTGCTCGCGGAAAATCGATCCGACGAGAAAATTGTCAGCAAGTCATACGGAAAGAGCGTTTTATGCCCTGCACCGTTACGTATATTAAAATAAAACAGTGAATAGAAACTGCGAGCAAATTAAGACAACGGTCTACGTGTTAGGGTACTTATACAATGGTAATCACGTAAAAGTATACACGTAGCGTACATAATATGTATATATATATGTTTATACCGTGTGGTGATGCGAGCCGGTTGTCAAAAGGTGCTGATGCGACTGCAAGCCGTGAAGATGGTGGTGCTGTAGATTGTGGGGGTGGTGGTGGTGGTGGTGAGCGCTTCCTGTACTGTTGAGGTGAGCCACGGGGGGTACTGCTGGCGCCGATCGGCGCTGTTGTAGGGACTGGAGGTTGGCAGCGGGGGCAGCGTTGCCCGTCGGGGTGAGCGCGGGCACGTTGGCCGGGGTTGCCGTGTGCTGGTGGTCGGGGCCAGGGGCTAACGACGAGGCCGAGGACATGTCCAGGACGACGGCCAGTTGTTCCTCGTGCCCCTCCTCGTCCTCGGCCAGGCTATAACTGACGGTACCACCGCCCGTTGACACGGGGGCGTCGCGGGAACTCCTCTCCTGCAGCAATTTGCTCAGCGTGCACACCATTTCACAGCTATTGTCCTCGCCGGTGGATTACCAGCAACATCAGCAGCAGCAGCAGCAGCAGCAGCAGCAGTAGCGTCCACCACCGCCGCCGCCGTCGCTTCGCGCATTATTTTTCAACCCGCACTCTTTATTCGGTACGATATATGTTTTACTGTATATATATATGTATACCAGCTATTCGTCGCACCCTTTCTCGCGCACCAGCAACTATACGATGTTAGGTATAACAACCCGCACAACGGTTACCATATAATATACATATATACAATTGTTGCATGTATTATACAGTCGTCGCACAACAATTAACAATTAAAAAACAACTGCCCCCTCCCCCCCAACACTCGGCAACGGATACACCCGATTTTCCGATTCCCGTAGACTCGTCTCGAAAAAGTACATCAACAACTCGTGAAAAAGGACGCACGATGATAACAACATACACACGTATAAGTTGCGCGTGTCGGTGTATATATAAATATACACATGCACATGTATATATGTTGTGTTACCGTGGGTATATAGAGCCCGGGAGATCGGCACGCATCGGCGCGTCGACGCGACTTTGGGCGCACTTGGCGGTGGAGTGGCATCGCGGCCGCGAGTCCTTTGGCCCCCGCGCTCGAGCGTGTCCGGGGCGCGGCTGCGGGGCTCGCGCGATTGGTTGTCGGTCGGCCACGGGGCTGGGCGGGCCGGATCGCCCGATTGGTCGGGGGGAGGGGGGCGCCCGCAGAACTGGGCGGGGCTTGCCTCCTCAATCTCGCGTTAGCTTCTTGTTAAGCGTCTTTCATTGTGTGTTTAAACTCGTAATTTATGATCCCGACTGAATAAAACAAGAGCTCCTCTCTCTCTCTCTCTCTCTCTCTCCGTTGCACTCGCGTATATGTGTATGTGTGTGTAGGTATATATATATTCCTCCGCTCTCGGGTCTTCCTTTTCCTCTTTTCGATGATTATGTATACCTGCAGCTCCACGTGTTATATAAACGCGGTCCTCGAGGATGACGAGACGGCCGCTTCTTGTCCATCGCGCGCACTGGTTTCTAGCACCCCCCAACGTCCCGCTGCGAGTTTGGAGAGGAGAGGAGGAGAGAGAGAGAGATACTTTGTAGGTATTCTTCTTTCATTTCCTGCTGGCTGCAGTTGTTGGGTGCTCATTTTCACCCAATATATCACGCGTACGTACCTACGCATGTACATAATGCGCCATTGTAACGTATGCACCGTGACAAATTATTTCGAATGTATCGGATGGGCGAGATCATTGCGTCGATTAGTTCCGGGGTCTCGGAGCTCGATAATTGAGACCTCGTTTTCCGCAACATCGAGTTTTATGGACGCCCGAAAAAGCCGTAGGGCTGAAAAATACGACGACGGTAATTTACTTGTAGGTATACGTGCGTTGTTGTCCGGGTGCGCGGTGATGATGGTTCCCCTGCTCCTGTAGCGATTATCATCATCGTCGCGAGAATCATCGTATTTTATTGAATCGTTGAAAAGTATTATACATAATAATATTGGTACAAATGTGCAACTCTACAAGTGCAAAGTTATGTCTTATTATACGTGTTAGGAGAGTGTGGCAAGCACGATTAGTCCGGATTATAGCTACGCTGTGCTCAACTGTATATTGTATAATCATACGCTCGATGGGACAAATGTAATATATGATGTGCGTTGCAGCCTTTGGTTATTCCTCCGCCATTTGGTCTTGTATATACCATCCAGGCGATATTCCGTTACACATACATATATACCTATCTACGTATAAGTTTGTAACAAGTGTGTATACCAATTTACATGTGTGTGTGTGTGTACGTGCGATGTGTATTCCCGAGCCTCGAATGACCATGATGATGAGTATGATAGTAATGACGTCGACGACGATGGTAATATAGGTACAGTTGTCATGAATTTGCATTCATCGGTCTCTCAAAGTGTCGGGCCGTTGTGTTGTGCATTTCTATACGACGAAGCCATCTGTATACCTCGACCCATCCGTCCTTTTCTTTCCATTGCCCGTCCGTGCTCTGCTGACACTTTTCATTTAATTCAATGGAGTGCCGCCACTGCTGGGCTTTTAATTTATTGCACGCACACTCGACCTCCGAATGAAATTTATTAACTTTTATTTATTTATTATTATTTTTTTTTTTTATCAAATCAACGCGTGATTGTTGAATCTTCCGAAATATGTTGGCCAATTTTATACCGTTATTGCCAAACATCGCCGTTGACCGGAAAAGAAAAGAGGGTCCCCCCTTGAGAAAGATAAATATCGTGCTATTTGTCAACTCGAGCATGGAAAAAAAAAAAAAAAAAAAAATACATACATACATACCTACGCACGAGGAGCGCACACTGGAGTGCAACGACAATGGCCCCGGGGTTATTTTCGAATCGTAAAATCAAGTCGATTATTTGCGGCTCGAACACATTATATTATATACGTGCCATTTCTATGCGCGCGCGACAAATCACACTGCGAGCGCTCATTTCACGAGCCGATGGTTGGAGGGAAGAAAAAAAAAAAAAAAAAAAAAAGGATGAAAGGAAAAAAAAAAGATTTAGCGCTAAACAATTGGAGTACGGGGGCAGGACTCGAAAGGTGGATGTTCCGTCCTTCCCCGCCCCGGCAGTCAGTCATCCCCGGCATGTATGTATGCTCTTTTTTTTTTTTTATTCTTTCTCCGCAAGTATATACGTGTATATATAGATGGGCACTTTTGCACCGAATGTGCGCTCGAAAAGTCGAGCGCCTCGTGTATTGTTGGGCTGTAAAGGTACCGAAAAAGGGGCCAGAGAGGAAGAAGAAGCTGCGCGCATCAAAAGATACGTGTATAGGTACCTATGTATGTATACACATATCCGTATATACGTAGGCGGGGCAATATCGTATTAAAAGGTCGAAAAATGGCCAAAGGCAACGCTAATGCTGTCCAAATAGGACGACAGTCGCAGAGAGAAAAAGAGGGGGGAGGGGTAGAAAAGGTAACTCTCTCTGTTGGTCTAACAGCCAAGGGGGGTGGGGGGATGAATGGGAGGACAGCTGCGCTCCTGAACGCGAGCCGACAAATAGCCCTGTATACACACACACCTATCGCTCATCTCGCTCACCTATATATATATATATATGCGTGTGCGATGCGCACTTTGTCTTTTTTTTTTTTTTTTTTGAGGTGTACAGGCGAAAAGCCAACCGAGCGTTATATTGAGACGAGGGGCCTCCCCATTCATGCGATTAGTATATAGGTAACTCTCTTTCGCTCGTGCGCTTCTACATAATATGGTATACCTATAGAGTTTATCCCCCCCCCGGCCCCCTTATTATGCCAGTTTAGAGGAGAGCCGACTGTGATGCTGATTTTGCTACCGGCGCACACGTTTCTTTCTTCTTTTTTTTTTTTTCTTTCCTTACTTCACGGGACACCTTCTTTATGCTCGGATTATTGACTCGATTCGCTACATACACGAGCATATATACACACCGATTATTTGCACTGTCAGGACTATATTCTCTACACACACGTACACGCAGTCGTACAGCTTCCTGACTTTGGGAGAAATTTTTCTCCTCTTTCTCTCTCTCTCTGTTCCCTTTTTCCTATATATATATACATTCTTTCTCCTTGGCGGAGCTAATAGCGCGTGCTCTCTCCGCGGCTACCGTGCGCGCATAATATATTGTATTATCCTGATGCTACTGTTCCCTTTTTCTCCTTCACCCCGAAAAACATATCATTTCTGCCGATTCACAAGCGTCACATAGACGTTTTATACTTGCACCCCGACACCACGTGTACATGTATTTCTCTGTTTGCTCTCAATTATAATTTTTATACCTATATGCTCCTCCCAAGGACTCCCCACCTACCCCTTCGATCAATGTCACGGACCTTCATCCGGTTGTATTTGCATGCGACGTGTTTGTTTTATACGAGTACATAGTTACAAGAGCGACGCAGAGTCACACGGCTGATGTTACGTGTATATATATATATATATATATCTCCAACTGCACGGCGTTTGGGCTGCAAAGAGAAAGAGAGGAAAAAAATAAAGGAAGAGATATGGGGGGATT